CAGTCATCGTGGTAGCTGCAATGCGCCGTCCGCTGCGAAGATCCAGCTCGTTGGGCTGTATAGCGAGTGGTACCCCGCACCTTCCACCAATGATGTTACGGGGAATAAAGTATACACTGGTGAGCAAATTCGTACTAACAAATATACAAGCGAGCTAATGCGTACGACGCTGCTGCAGTCCGAGGACTTTCCCGTTCAGCACTTCGTCGTCGTCATCCTCAGGCATCTACTTAGCCTGTGACAATATATTGAGTATTGCGCAGCTTATTAAAATGCTGCCTTTTATATAACATATATTAGAAATCTATGACTAGTATTTGTCCACAACGCATGGGATACTTCATTCACTTGTGTGCACTTACAACAGGGGTCGGCAACCTTGTTATGAAAAAGGGCATGAAGCCGACACAGCAAGGGCCGCATGGAGAAGCCGAGGGGGGCAAAGGGCCCCTTGCACGTGAAAAAAAAATATGCAGCAATTGACAGTACTATGCGAAAGTGGAGCATAAATAAATCAGAATCACTTTCCGCATGCATGCCACAAAGTTGCAATTTTTAGGAACAGGTTGCAAGCAAACAATTCCAGTTTGATATTCGGTGCTCAATATTCCTAGGAAACTCGCAAATATCTGCATCACAAGTTGCTGCCTGACAGAGTGAGACGTTCATCGGATAGTCCACCGCAAACACAAGTCTCATTTGATGAATTTCATTCTCGAGAAAGTCTCTTCGCAGTCGTATGGGCAGCTGGTAACTGTTGTCGCAGCTGTTCTTATGAAGTACGTTGTAAAACTTCACTGACTTTTGCATCGAATCCTTCTTTTAGCTCATTGTCTCTGTGTAGAACAACATGTGTCAACTGCTAAACATTCATATCCTGAAAAACTTCTAAAAAAAAGGGGTCGTAGCTGATTTTTTTTTGAGAACAAAAAAACCTAATTTCATTTCGCTCTGTAAAGCCCGTAACATTTGACAGTTCATAGGGAAGTGGTGCGCTCATACCATGTGCAAAACATTTGCAGCAAAGGAAGTGACACCGATTACGCTTACTATCCTGCCAGGGAAGTTTCAGTTCGTAAACTTCAGCGTAGCAAGTATGCAGAACACCAGTTTTCGATTTACTTTGCTGAAGGTCCTTTCCTTACCTGGAAATTCCACAAAGAAACTTCCTCTGTTCACAGGCGAGCGCAGGGATTTAAATTCAGCAGATGATAAGGTCGATGATTTGTCGCAGTGACCTCCTTTATATTATATAAATGTATGAGCCAGACTCACCCCGCCCTCCCTCTCTGTTTTTTTTTTTTTGAACAAATAATTGAAGACGTTACCTGGCAGTGTGTATAAACAGGTGAGAATGCCAACTGGAAGCAATAATTCTGTGTTATCTAACTTCATTTGAGGTTGAAACGTCCATGTAATCCTTCAGACCGGAAGTGACAAGGAGAGGAGAGTGGTGGTTTCGACGTCGTATCGGGGCCACTGATTGCCAACCACTACCTTAGCGTAATAACCAACTCCACTCCCAGCTATGAGATCAGGCAATGCCAGGAGGTACTTCTACCGATTTTTTTCAATAATGCAACCTTTGGTAGCTAGTCCGCGTTCACGTACTACATAGTGTCAGCAAGGTTGTCACTCTCTACGGCATCGATATGCGATAGCATACGGCTGTGCTAAACTATTCTGGAATAAAATTGCCGAGCTTCCGTTTTTGATGGGTCACATTATCGTTGATTTTATTTCACCCATATGAAAGTTATTTAGAACCCTAAAACTTCTACATATCATACATAATAACGAAATTATGTTTTTTAGACTTCTTTGACATTGAGACAATGTCATCATGAGTTTGTTTTGTTCACAACAGTGACTTCCTGAAATTTTAAAAATGGTTACTAATAGGATTCGCTTTGAGAAAACTTTATTGTGTAACAAGTTACTTGTGCGTTACATGGCAGTTGAAGTTATGTTGGACAATTCACCCGGTCACCAATGGCCAGGTGACAGAGAGCAACTACTCATGTTTTCATCAATGGAAGAAAAATGGCTCGTCATCTAATTGTAAAGAGATAGTTATTAAAATGTATGAAGAGTAACATGTTGTGTGGTGCAAGGTGTGCTTGTGCTACAAAACGCAGCTCCCGTTCGGCCATTCTGACTGGTCGGTTCTACAAGAGGGACGCGGAAGATCTGCGCATGGGAAAGAAAGGTGACTCTGTCGTTACATGGTTGACTAGAGATTCATCAAAGCTGCCCCTTTCCCCCGGCGCGCTTTAAACAAAAAAGGAAAAGCTCATCAGAAAGCTTGCCTCGCAAAAACCACCTACCAGGTGACGTGCGGTCATCTAGGTTTCAACATGATGGCATTCACGCTTACCGTACAAACACAAAGACAAGGAAGTAGTTTTTCGTCTCGAGCTTGAGAGACGGCTCCCGGTGGATGTCAGCCAATACACAGCCTAACACGGGATTGCGTGTAACGACGCATGTTAAGTGAAGAACCTATCCTGTCGCTTGTTGTATTTTGAAACAGGCTCTTCACCAATGCATTGGCGGCTGTGAAAGTGTTTCTGGAATTTGTTGTGATGATGCGTGCCCCCGAATGCTATTGGCTTGTGCGTAGACCCTTTGTTTGACCGAGGATTGAAAAGAGGTTGGTTGGATGTGAAACGAAAGCGGAGGTTCGGGCTTGGACCCGGGCAGATGCCTGAGGGCTTCAATAAAGCGTCTCTTGATCCAACAATGGCTCTTTTTTCGTGCTGCTACCGAGCACTAGATTAATCGAGGGGTGCCATTTTCGAGCATCGAACGCCTTCCTTCCTTAGCTGAAGTTGAATCTAGTTGAGGAAGTAAAAATTAACTGGGATACTGAAAAAAACTTTTGCCGCCAAGACTTTGAATCAAATGGAAAGACTGGGTCTTAAAATCTATATAATAGACACAACCTTTATTCTAGCCCAAAAATAGTGGGAAAAGATAAATTTATTGCTCTGACGAACTGCCTGGTCTAGCGTCCGCGTCGTGAACTACAGGAGGTGACGTTCGGCGCCGTCAACCCACCCGAAACAGGCCAGCCAGCAAGCAATACCAGCTCTCGCCGCCTCTCTCGTCTTCCTTTACGATTCCCAGAACCGGTGCTATCAGTCCCGGTCACAAACAATGCTCCCGGTGAGGCAAAGCATCAGGACATTTGTGGAATGGGGCGAGTTCAATGAAATTATGGGTGGAGAAAAGGAAGTGAACCGGAGCTCGTGCACCTCGCATGCGCCTCAGCGATTGTGACGTCACGGCTACAGCTCGCGTGCAGCCACCGCGAACTGATAATCCACCAAAAGTACAGCCAACTGTTGGAAAATATGTGAAAAAACTCTGTTAATCAGAACCATCGCATCTCCCGAGTAAAATTTCTAAGTTTCATCAGTTTTTCCCATTTTGGTTCAGTATCCTTTGGGCATGATGTAACAAAGTTGTTTGGTGAAAAGTTTAAACTTTTACATCCATCTGCCTGCATCATCCACACGTGCAACTGCCCGATTGTCGCAAATGTTTTCGATCTCTTCTTTTTTTTAACATAATGGATGAGAGTGCATAATCAACAACCTTTATCAATTTGACATTTTTACACCAGACAAGTAGCAACAGTGTCAAAGGGATTTTGTCTTCAATGTTTTGCTTAATACTGTTGTACATATTTTGCTGAATAATTCATTTTTAAAAATTATGATCTAAGTTAGACCATGTCAGAAGGGTATAAAAACACAAAGAAGATACATTTGGGTAAAAAAAAAAACAAGGGACGACAAAGCAGTCAGAAATGCTTACAGAACAGTACAAATCAAATGCTCATTAACGACGCCGAAAAAGTTTTGAATTAGAACCTTTGTTAGATAGGTTACTTCAATCGTTTCTTTCACAAAGAAAAGAAGAATATTTAAAATAATTGACCGTTTTCATTAAAGGCTTGTTTGTTTGCTAATGTTAAAATATAGTTGTCTAACATGTTGATGAAATCAAGGTATGTCTTGTGCTAGTTTCGTAATGACTATTACCAACTGATAAAAAAAACCTTCAGTCTACAGACATGAATCAACAAGAGGCAAATTGCCGTCTTTATAGATTTGCTAATAGAACTGCTACTAAATGAGTTGTCGATGGATCTCGAAGTCTCTTTCTGTATTCCTTATAATTTTCAAAAATTGATTTTCTGAAGGTGTTCCAAATTATCACGGTTTACTCTAATATAGGACAATTGTTTGATTTCTAGTGTGTGCCTCAAAAAGAACATCTTTTGAAGGCATTGGCTACATTTATCTATGTGTGTGTTACAGCTGAGTTTGTTCTTAATTAGCACTTCTATATAACCAAAGTGCTCAAGCTTGAAAAGGATTTGGTCACTAGTTGATTATGTAAAATGCATTAGTTTGTTTTTGTTAGTGATTATCATAAAATGTTTTTTATTAATTGATGAACATTACTCAAGGCTCTCACACCATTAAATGAGCTTCGCAAGATCATGATTCCAAGCCCAATTCTGTACAAAACTGATTTTGATACATCGTGCATTTATACTGCATACAACGTATTATTTTTTTCATTTCTTTAACAAAGCCGCTTTTAAACACTATAGAAGAAGCACATGTCCTAGATTGGGCCCCTTGAAAATGAAGGCTTGAATACACTTTCAGGAAAAATCCTATCGAACGATACACACTTATATTGATGGTTTTACTGATCGACCTCAGTAAAGCGTTCAGTCTAGTATAACCGTCTTCACATCAATGCACCAAGAAAAGTTTACCTAAGCAACTAAACATTATTCATTAAAGCCATCTATATGTTAACTGCTTATATTTGGGTTTGACGCAAGAGAAGTTAGCTATACTATCTTGCTTAGGTGCACGTCTCTATGATGTTTTTTACAGCATGCCGATCTTTTTCTTATCGCTCCCCGCAGACTTACAGCAACTGAGATTTTTCCTGATGCCCTTTCACGGAGGAGCATGTGGTCCCCGCAGAGAGGCTAGTGGACCACATCTATTGCTGCCCTCTAAACTTTACAGGGCAAAACTTCGCCCCTGAAACAGGTAACTGAGTCTGTATTTATTGCTTTCCATGTTTGTTCAACTTTGTTTTTTTTCTTCTTTGTTAAATATCTACCCAGCATAGTCAGCGGCTTTACAGTCGCGGTAGTGCCTCGTGACCTTAGTGGTAATGTTCTGTAACAACAGCGTCTTTCTAACTACCCTCTTAGCTTGCGAATTCTTTGGCCTTATTGTCAAGTGGTTTTTACAGAAGTGAATATTGGTCCGGCAAGAATCAGCGACGTATTTCCATCACGTAAATTCGGTTTAAACATTTACGTGATCATATGGTGACAGAAAAAGTTCCGTCAGCTAGAGCCCAACCCACGGCTACTGCATCCGTGACAGCGCAGCAGCCCCGCCCTTATCAACTGCACCACGGTCACATACTTCCGAGGCCGTCCAAACACGCATTTTATATGTAGCACTGACCTCTTACGGTGCAGTTGGTATTGAGGATGGTCATACATCAAGACCGTGACCTCAATGACTAGCTTTCTTAAAACGTCGGTGCTACGTTTCTTTATTGTTCGGCGCATTTTCAACAGGCCTAGTGTGATTTTAAGGGACACATTTAAGGAAGCGCCATGTGGTGAATCTTGCCCCAAGCGTCTGGCTCGCCCATAGCATCCATCTGCATAAAAGAAAATGGCAGCTTATTCGCAGGGTGAATGATGAAGGGTGGGGTGAAGCATCCATCTGTCCATTTGTTCTTGCTTCTGTCCATCCATGCGTCGGTCTGCATGACTGTCCGTGCGTGTGTCTGTTCGTGCGTCCGCACGTCCTTCCGTGTGTCCGTCCCTGCATTGGCCCACGCATCTACCCCTGCGTCTGACCATGCATCCAACTATCCGTGCAGCTATCCATGCGTTCGTCCTTGCATCTGTCTGTGTATCCGTTCGTCCATCTAGTCCACACTCCAAGTACCACTATCTCGCATCTTTTCATCATATATTCCGCATATAGATGCACCGCCATCAAGCAGACATTCCAAGGACTAAACGAGAAGTGGCACATGCACACGTTCTTACAGCTTGCGCTTCCCGTCTACTTTCCACTTTAACCAACTCGAGTTCATGGTATATATTAGTTCACTGTATTCTTGGCACTGCAGCCCAACACTCGCTAAACCTTTCTAAAACCAAGGAGGTTACGCCCAGCGAGTATAACGCAGTAACCCTTTCTTGTCAGATAGTGCTCAATTTACATACCAATGGCTGCTAATGGGGAATGAGAGACATGAGTATTTGGCTTTCAGTTAACGTGCACGCTGCGAATTTTTTATTGTTTAACAATGCACTGGGAGAATCTCCTACCAGCACCACCTTCCAGGTCGAAGCGTAAGACAAGTTACGTACTACGACAAGGGACAAACGGGTGCCGCTCTAAGGAACTTTGTCCCTAAAACAGCTATGCTCATAGAGTTCAGTACTAGCTATGAGACGTGTGCCTGCCGAGCAGGGCTGTAACACTGCCATGTTGTAACACTGCGTTTGTCACTTACGCTCACGGCTGGCTAAACGGGGCGTTGCAACGCGCGTTGCATGTCCCTACAATCGAGTTGATGCGTTTCATAACACTAACATGGCGCCAGTGTTGTACGGAATGGCGTTCTAAGGAACGCCGTACCAGTAGCTTCTTTCTATGTGGAGGAACGGAAAAACGTCACCACTCCGTTCACAATTGCTGTAACTGTAACTGCAACTCGTTACGTTTACGACGCAACGGCAGGGGAAGTGGCGTTCTTGGGGCGAATATTCGCGGCATTCAACAGGCATTCAGCACGCCAAAAAAACATGTTGAGCGGGGCAGATGGGTGACCACTTGAAGCGCGAAAGTGTGCCACTCGCCTGTCACGTCACTCTGATGAACAAGGATTTTCATTTCAAGACGCCCGCGAGGGGCATAGGAAAGTGCACATCTCTGAGACAGACCACGAGCGAGAGGAATAGTTATTTACAGCACAGCTCTTGAGCTTGAGGTTTCTTTGACACATATAGCTGAAATAAAACTATTCTCATCGAAAACTGGCAGCCGCACTCTGTACTCTTTCATTCCTGTTCTGCTTCGCTTCTGGAACATATGCGCCAATTCGTCAGGTGTGAGATGCAATAACCGAAATGTACAAGACAATGAGTACAAAGATAGAGAGACAAAGAAGAAGAATTGTCGGCGAGAAAGAACGCGAGGTGGCATCGACGCACATGGATGTGTTTGTTCGGCTCTGTGAGTTTTTGGACATAACCCATTTATTTTACGATATCCTTGTGACGATTTTGAACAAGATGTGTGAAGATTTCCTCTATGTTTTAAGACTTTGTGACAAGATCTGTTTACTAGAACGTCTTTTACTGTGACGTCTTTAGCTCCTCGCCTACGAGAGCTTGGCGCCTTTCCGACGCCATAGGCGTTACACACCTCGAGCGGGCGTCATGTGCCAGGTTGATGGAGTAGATGGCGAGGATCTTTTCTCGGAGGAAATGTTTGTTGCAAATAATGGAGGAAGAAGGGGCGACGGGCACGAGCATGAGCCAGGAGCGCTGGCTCGCTCGGTTGTTTTATTCACCTTCAAAGTAGCCAGACAATGGGGTCCGGGTGCCCTTCTTCGTTTCTCACACTTCATTCTTGTGCCGAAGTCCGCGCGGTCGCTGGATCTCAAGACTGCCCATGGATCAACTCATCACCATGCGCCACTTTGTCTGAAAAGCCATCATGCAATATTTCTCAATTCTCGATGCCCTGATGGAAGACTCGTCAACCCCTGTTGAGAAGCTCGAAGATGCGCTCCTCCTCATTTTCGCGAAAGATGCCAAACTGATGGACTTGAACAAGCACATTCAGGCTGCGCTTCATTGCGAGGAGTTGGTGCCGGACCTGACCAAAGCCAGCGAGTTCGTGGATAGAGTCATCTGCGCTAAAGCAAGAGTTCGCTACGCAACCAAACCGCAGACATGAACCACACTCGCATCAGTCACAGTCACATCCACCACCTCTGTAAGCCTATCGCATACACAATGCAGCCCGCCCCGACGTCATCTTCCATCAGCCTTTCGACTACTCTCGCTTCAACCTCGGTGCACAGCGCGACTTCATCTTCGACCAGCCTTTTTCTTGACTGCTCTTGCTTCGACGTCACAGCAGGCCGTCACTTTGCCTCCGACCAGCCTCTCGATTGCTCTCACTTCGTCGTCAGAGCAGGTGGCAATTTCGCCTTCAACCACCTTCTCGACTCCTCTCGATTCGACATCACAGCAAGCCGATACTCCAGTCAATAGACCTGAGGCCCCCGCTCACCTTGACATTGCAGCAGACTGTGTCTCATCTTCATCCGGTCTGTTGACTTGTCTCGCTTCAACGTCGCAGCAAGCCACGACTTCACTGTCAACTGGCCTCACGACTCCTCTCGTCTCGTTGTCCCAGCGGACCGCGACAGTACCTTCCCAAGGTTTCCCGACTGGATTGCCACTATTTCGCTTCGGACTAACCGAGGCTACGTGGTTCACCACACACAAACCTGCAAACAATTTACCTCGAACCCATCCCCGCAGTCGAAGAGTTTCGGTACACGCTGGAAGAACTGTCGTTGTCCCCGTGATACACGGTGCTTGGATGCAAGGACTCGTTCGGAAGGTGCGCCATGGAGAGATCAATGGCTAAAGAAGACCCCGGGTGCACCATTGTATCAACTCTAAAGATCCGGCTTCCCATAACCTGAGTCGCTGCTTGGCAAGTCCGTCTTACTTTTATGACCCACATGACGAACTCTTGTATTATCCGTCACACGGCACCGTGTGCCTTCAAGACTTAGCCCAGAAGCAACAGTACGTGGGGTCCTACTACTCTCGTGACACGTTCCTCAAGCCCGATCTTGGTGGCAGCGTCTCCAGTTCGTCTCCTTTTCAGTCCAAGCAAGTAGAGGATCGGGAGTACGAGCAGCACTGCTGCTACAAGCTGCGCTCAACCGAGTACGTGCATCCCATGGCCGTCTACGACGCCACCGCACACCATGAGATGTCGCCATCACACCAGAGAATTGTGCTGGATGTACAAGCGCCACATCACACTGCTTGAGCAATACACCATGCGCATCACGTAGAGATCCTGTGCAAACGAATATCCTGGCGAAGCAGGACACACAGTAATCAACAAGTAGTCGGGAGCCTCCCTCAGCGATGTCTCCAAAAATGCCTCCATGAGTCAGACATGTGCACCCGAAAACGTCAGCTGGATGTGCGTCATCATTCGCGACGCCGGAACGGACGCCAACGTTCTGCTACCGGCCACAGAGAACGTAGACAAACCTCCACTGCCTCTGAAGGCAACCGAGATTCCCGACCTTGGCGAGGTCACTGCTCAATAGAACCTAAATGCTTCAGCATCATTGTTGTCCTCTTCAAGCGATGAAAAAAAATGGCCGTCGATTTTAGAGTTTTCATGCAGCTCAGAAACACTTGCGAGCCAAGCACACGTCAAAGACTCCCTGACACCTGAGGTTGTCAAGCAGCGCATAATCGCACAGCTACTACAGAGACGTCAGAAGCAATATCAACGTCGCATCCCGGCTGCGGCGGCTGCATTTCCGATGGAGGCGGAAATGTTGTAGGCCCGTGTGCTCAGATTTGGGTGCACGTTAAAGAACCCCAGGTGGTCGAAATTTCCGGAGCCCTCCACTACGGCGTCTCTCATAATCATATGGTGGTTTTGGGACGTTAAACCCCACAATATCAAAGCAATTTTAACAATGGCTGGCAAAAATGACTCTGCAGAAATACGCGAATTGTCAAGAATCCTCACGAGTCTACGAAAGCAGGCCGAAAGCCGACATTTCTTACTACAAGCAACGCAAGAACTTCGAAAGTCATCAGCATGGCCTGCAGATGGCAAACTTTACCTTGAATTCATCTTACTACAGGGAACATGCATTACTACAGGGAACTTGAGCGGCCCTCCTCCACAAGACAAGCCACCACCTTCCATAGCTTCGTCATTAGCAAAGAACTCCA